CTTGAATCGCCTTGGCCGCATCTCCCTTAGCCTTCAAGAGTCGGGTCCAACTCATCCGCGTCGCGTCGTCGAGCATCACTAAGAGGAACCGCGCTCCTCCCTTTGATGCATGCCGCATCGGTCCACACACGTCCATGTGAACAAGCGCAAGCGGGTCCTTTGCGAGGGGTGAGGTACGGCTACCAAATGGCTTGCGAGCCATTTTTCCTTCGACACACGCCGCGCACACGCCCTTCTCGTCGTTGCCGGCGATCACGTCAAATCCCTTCGCAAGTCCTTTGTTGGCCAACTCTTTGACCGAGTCGTAGTTGGCGTGCGCAAGCCGATTATGCCACATTTTGAGAGTCGCCTTGGAGCCTTGCGCCACGTTGGATGAGGCCGTTGTCGGATGCGTCTTGAGTTGGTAGAGTTGTCCGTTGAGAACGCCTTGCGCGAATTGCTTCCCCTTCCAAAAGAGGTTCATCTTCGCGCCATCGATGGTGACCTTCACGTCTTTCTTTGCGAGTTGAGTGACGGAGAGTAGATTCACCTTCAATCCCGGGACGTGAAGCACGTTCGTGATGTCCACCGGCCCGCCATCGACGATGAGACGCGTACTCCCAACTCCAACCACCGGTAGCGATTTATCGTTCCCGAAGACGACGCGCTTGACGTCTCCCGGAGCACCGACGTTGTTGAGGAGCGACGCCGAGTGCGTCATGTGTTGTGTTGCACCGGTGTCGAGGAACCACGCGTCGTTTGAAGTGTTGATCCCGTCACCGGCCAACAAAACGAGCGACTCCGTTGAATCATCCGCCTCGCCGGATGCCGTGTGTGCGTTGCCCTCTTGGTTCCGCGCCTTCGATGGAATCCAATCGCTCGGCCGCTTCCGACATTCACGCCAAAAGTGCCCCGCTTTGCGACAATAATGACACTTGCTCGAACCGTTCGATGCGTTGCCCTTGCCGCGACCGTTTCCACCGGACGACTTCTTTGCCTCACCGTTGCTCCACTTGGACTTCTTTCCGGAGCTCCCTCCGGAGAACATGGCGGTCTCCACGCTCTCGTTAGCGAATTGTCGGCGTCGCGATTCTTCATGGAGAAGCCGACCGACCACCATTTCCTTCGTCCAAGTGTTTTGCACGCTATCGAGTGTCGTAATCACGGTCGACCACTCTTCCGGAAGGCCGCAAAGCAAGGTGAGAATCCAATCCTCCTCCGTGACCGTTCCACCGATATCCATGAACGTTTCCCCGAGTTCCTCCACACGAGTCGCATACTCGTGCATCGATTCGCCCGCACGCAACTTCACCGTGTAGAACGCATTTCGGGCTAGGATCTTGCCGTGGAGAGTCTTGTTCACGTGCATCGTCTCGAGCCGCTTCCATGCTTCACGCGCCGAAGCTTCGAGCTTGATGCACGTGCGCACCGAACTCACGAGGTTGATGCCGATGCGCGAAATCAACGTTGCGAACGCCTTTTGGTCCTTCTTCTTCCATGCCGCGATCTCGTCCTCGTTGACCGGCTTTTTCTCCGTTCCGTCGAAGAGACCCCAAAGTCCCCGCTCCATCATGAGCACTTGGAACTTAAATTTCCACGCGGAGTAGTTTTGTCCCGTGAAAATCGGAACCGCCGACGTGTCGAACACCGTCGCGTTTGTCCAGGGTTCGCCGGGATTCGAGACGACACCACCTAAGGAAGTGCCGGAGGTTTCGCTTGACGTCATCATGCTTGCTACAAGTCGCGCACGTAGACTCTACCGACCAGCTCTGATACCACTGTTGTAGAGGCTTCTCCTCTACTTTGCAGGAACTCTAAGCTGCACTAAACGATAGAGCACGGTCTTGGCTTTCCAACAAGCCGTCAAACACGTTAATCGCCCAAGTATACGCCGAGATATTGGCGTTCACGTGATTGCTAGTGCTCTTAGAAGCAAGGATAGACCTCTCTGGAATTTTGGTTCGAATGGACCATGTACAAGAAGATTCAGGATTTCAGTATAAAGCATGCATACAAGGCAGGTCGATTTATAGCAAATGCATTACATCGAACCGCACATGTAACATCACATCGCTACACTCGCGTCGCGAATGCGCCGCGTGTAACATTTCGGTTGGGGTGAAATTCGACCACCGAATTTCATACCGAACACACCGAATTCGCCTTGCACTTGAAGGTTGGAATGTGGTGCCGCCACGTGGCACCGAAGGGTGAGTCTCCCGAAGTCAATCGGTGCCACCCCACCGATCCCTAGTCAAAGGGATCGAAGGCACCGAAGTGCCCTCGGTGGGTTGGGGGCATACCACCGCCCCACCACCGTTTCCTTCCAACACTCCCCCTTGCACCCAAGCCACTAGGTGTTCATACCAACATGCTCACGGCATGCACGGAATGAATCCTTAGGGAGTGGTTTAGTGAGGAAATCCGCGGGTTGCGCCTTGGTGCTGATGTATGTGACCTTGACCTCACCTCTCTCGACCACCTCACGAATGAAGTGATGCTTCACCTCAATGTGGGAGGAAATATTTTTAGTGCTAGAGGCAGTGAAGCGCAATGCATGCATCAGCCCATGCAGTTTCCATTGTGCACGCTGTGAGAGGAAAAAGCCCTTTACTTAAAACGACACATAAAAAACAGGAAGAGAATCAATGTGAATAGCAAACAAGAATGCCGTGAGGCCTCCATAACGTACAGTGTGTAACTGTTCTTAACTTTCTCGAACGGGTGTCAAACTTGACGAATAAAGCTCGCATCTGCGCAGTGAGGCGTTTCTTGGTCAGTGACTCACGCACTGGCATCAGCATTTACAGCATTTTCTTGTCCTCATGTATTTCAACTCATTTTCTCCTCGTAGGTGGTTTTTTATGCACCTCAGAGGCATTTTGGCCTTGTGTGTTTTGCCGGTAATGTGTTTCTCTTCTGGCAGGTGGCCCTGAAAATAGTTGCTCCAGTGCACCACGTTGGACTTCTTTACACCGTGGTATGTACACTGACGCTCTGTACTTCAATGCGTGCTCGCTATTGCACTGTACTTCTGTACTATGGTCTTGCAGGTTTCAGCTATAGTTGTGCTGTTTATCTTTGCAGTCCTCATCTCATTTCTAAATGCACCATTGAAGCCCCTTTTCTTGCATACTTACATTGCATCGTACCACACAAAACATCTTGTGGCTTACCTCAATATATGCCATCCTTTTTCTCCTCTGCATGTATCGACATGGCACAGCTTCAACGGCCTGAATACTCGGTTGAGAGATTAAACGAAACTTATTGTGAAAGCGAGGATGGAAAAGGTAGTGTAGTTGAGCTTCAGATTACGGTTATTGCGGACTACGTTCCTAGGCTACAAGACACATTGTCGGATGCACTGAGAGGAGACGCGTTGGTAACGAATGGAGATAAATAAACAGGTGTTGGATCAATGCGTAGTGCATTAAGCATCAATTCTGCATGCGTTGTTTCTCGGGTTTGACGGTCACGTGACATGTGAAACGCTGTTTTGACAGGGCATTCAAAAACAGTGGCAAATACCAGGGGGCACTGTCTTTAGGGCCCATAAAGGGAGTTTTGGTATGCAAAACCTGCCAAAATGTGCAAAAGGAAGCATTCAGCTACTCTAAACACTAAACAGAACAAGAACTGATGTCAATATCCTAGGTTTAGAAAATTACATAAGCCTTTTAGAGTTCACAGTCAACACGCGGCGGGTGGTACAACCATACATTGCAACGGGGAAAAGCCGAACGCTTGCTAAGAATTGCTCAGCCATTTGTTGATTGGCCCCACATGTTCAACCAATCACACCTTCCAATCCAACTCGATGGCAGTCACTACATTTTCCCTTTCGGGATCACCTGGGTCACGATTCACCGAGGCACGCACCAATCAGTAACCTTCGCGCCTCTTACAAACATCTAGGGGTTCGGGTGATTCGTCCTTGGCCCTCACAAGCCACCCCCTCCATTCCCCATGTCGTTCAGTCGTTTATGCCTCCCAACCAGGTCGCTGAATCCACAAACCATTGTTTATTGCGAGGAATACGACCGCACCGTACTGAACGACGTCTATGTTCTCTTTCAGAATATCTGTGCAGTGATGTTCCCAAGGCTTGAAGGCGAGCACCACGGATACATTTCATGCTCCGCGCCACTGCCAGAGGCCTCGAATTTGCAGCAAACCCTTTCGACCTTTTTCCACCACAAACAGCAGAACTTGTGCCCAATGAGCAAAAACGCGATCGGCAGGAATCGAGTCGGCCAGATCTTGTCATTGCCTAGCAATGGCATTTTGGGGCTCTTGACTTTTCCAAGAGCCAAACTGGCCTCCTCACTGCAAGGGTCCTAGCGGTGGTAGATTGATGCTTCGTGGAGCTGTGCTGGCGACAGCACTGCCTCGTAAGTCTGTTATCCCCAAGAACCGTCATACGCCCCTCTGTGAGAACAGCCTTGAAATAGCAGCCAATGATTGTGCAGGCAAGCCGTGCCCGTTCAAATCTCTAAGTAGCGAAGTCGAACTTCCGAGTTTCACAGGGTCAGAGCATAGTAACCCGTGTGTTGGACAGATCACGCAGCTCCCATGGCTATCAGGAGACTACCTTGGGGTCCCCAGGCCCATGCGGATCTTCCCAGGAGACCAACGATGGCCGTTCAAAAAATGGCGGCTACCTTGCGCGCACGCAGAGCCAGGTTACTGACACGGGATTGGTTGATTCAGGAGCCGGGCTAGCATTGGCCGGCGGGCCGTCGTAGACGAGTCGGGCACGGGTAGTCTTCTCCTGAACGGCAAGAAATGATGCGGCTTTGGTCAGACTGTTGGGTACAGCAACTGATGCCTATTAAATCAACCATCTGAGTTGTGTGACGAGCCATATCCTCCGCGAGTCGGCGAAAACTCTTCGTTTGACGATCTACCTTGCGACGAAGATTCCCTGCTCGGCTAAGCCGCTGAATCTCAAATCAAAACGGAGTCGAATCTATCGATCTCTAACCACCTTTAGACCGAATCCCGCACTGGACAGAACCATGGGGTTTCAGAGCGCGACCCTCGCCGCAGCCAACGCTACTCCTGTCGCGTTCCGAACCAGCAGCTTGAGCAGCCAGACTAAGCCCGAACACGGTTGTAGCAGCAGCTACATCCAGGTCCCCCACCGCATCGCGTCTTCCCCTTCATTCCTCCGCGCAACGACGTACCCCGCACACGTCCGCAGGCAAATTTTGGCAATTCCGCTGCGCGTTACGGCGGAAACTTCCCCTGCAGATACTGCCAAGCCTGGCGGCCCCAAACCTGGCGGTTCCAAGCCTAGAGACGTGACTCCCGCCGCCGCTGCTGCTGCTGACGGTCCGGGGGTTGTAGCGGGAGCTTCTGCCGTCCTGGAGGCGCCTGCGGTGCTTCAGCCGTCGTCGGCGGCCGGCAGCGACCCAGATGCGGTCCGGCTGGTACCGCGAGTGGAAGAGCGCGAGGGGTATTGGGTCCTAAAGGAGGAGTATAGAACGAGTCTTAATCCCGCGGAGAAGATTAAGATTGCCAAGGACCCGATGACGCTGATCGCGCAAGGCGGTAAGGCGCTTCGGGAGCTGGCTTTAAAGACGATGGCGGAGGTGGACGGGAGTAAGGAGGCGAAAGACGACATCGACTCGCGGTTCAAGTGGCTGGGGCTGTTTCATCGCCGCAAGCAGCAATGTGAGTCCAATCCGTGTGACTCGACTCTCACCGCAATATCGAGTAACCGCATTCGTTTTCTCGCGGCGTTTTTATATGGCGAAATTTCATGGCGAAGCACTTGGGGTTGTTTCCCTGAGCTCCTCCCTCCTTCCCTCCAGCCAACCCCCCTCCTCCCACGTTCCCCGCTTCCCCCCTCCCCCCCTTTTTTCGGTACAGTCGAGCGCTTCACGATGCGCCTGCGGCTGCCCAACTGCATCACGACCAGCGAGCAAACCCCCTTTTTCCCCCCCACCCCGTTCCCTCCATCCGCAACAGACGGTCGCTTCATGATGCGCCTGCGGCTGCCCAACGGCATCATTACGAGCGAGCAGACGCGGTTCCTCGCTGACGTCATCAGCCGTTACGGCGAGGAGGGCGTGGCGGACATCACGACGCGGCAGAACTGGCAGATCCGCGGGGTGACTCTTCAGGACACTCCGGACATCATTGAGGGGTTGAACAAGGTACAGAGCGGTGCAGGGGGGCTGAAGCGAGTATGTGGGACTAGGAGGTACAGAGCGGTGCTGAGGGGTGGGAGTGGGTTGGTGAGGAGGACTTGGCGGACATCACGATGCGGCAGAACTGGCAGATCCTCCGAGTGACTTTGCAGGACACGCCGGAGATTATCAAGGGGTTGAAAAAGGTACAGAGTGGTGCTGGGGGGCTGGTATGTATGTGGGGCTATAGAGGAGGTACAGAGCAGCTCATCCGGAATGGACAATACGCGCGACGTGGTGGGAAATCCACTGGCGGGGATTAACTATCTCATACCCTCCCCCACCCTTTTCCCCCTTCCCCTAACCATCCCTCCTGGCAGGTCAACCTGAGGTTCATCCAGAGCGGAATGGACAATGCGCGCAACGTGGTGCGCAACAGACTGGCGGGAATCGACCCCCTCATACCATCCCCCACCCTTCGCTCTTCCCCCCACATCCCCCGGCAGGTGAACCTGAGGTTTATTCAGAGCGGAATGGACAATGCGCGCAACGTGGTGGGCAACCCACTGGCGGGGATAGACCCCCTCGAGATCATCGACACACGGCCCTTCTGCCAGGCCATCGATGACGTCATCACGGGGAATGGGGAGGGCAACACTGCTTTGTCGAACCTGTAAGTGTCCGTGTCCGTGTCCGTGTATCTAGTGAGTTTGTGTGTGAAAGCCGTGATCGCCGCCGCGGCCGCTATACAATGCGTAGACAGACAGCACGCTTTCTCCCATTTCTCAAGTGCCCACTTTCCACCCCTTTTCCACCCCACTCTCTTCCCCCTTTCCTCCCCCCAATTGCAGTCCGCGCAAGTGGAATGCCAGTGTGGTGGGCTCACACGACCTATTCGAGCATCCCCACATCAACGATCTCGCCTTCATGCCGGCCCTCCGCCGAACCTCGGGCAGAGGTTCGGACGGAGGTTCGGAGGAGGGGTGGGAGATGGGGTTTGAGATGCACGTGGGGGGCTTCTTCAGCAGCAAGCGGTGCGAGGAGGCGATCCCGATGGACGCATGGGTGCCAGCTCAGCCTGCTGACGTGGCGGCTGCCAGCAGGGCAGTGCTGGAGGCGTTCCGGGACCTTGGGAGCCGCAGCAACCGGCAAAAGACGAGGATGATGTACCTTATAGAGGATCTGGTGAGTTGGCTATTAGGGAAACTGGTGAGCGGGATCATAGAGAAGCTAGTGAGTGGGCTTATAGATGGACGGGTGAGTAGCCTTAGTAAGGAGCTGATAAGTTCCTTGGGGCTGGTGAGTGGGCTGATAGAAGACCGGGTGAGTAGCGTTCTATATGAGCTGATATGTTCCTTATAGACAAGCAGTGACGTAGTAGTCGCAGCTAAACAGTGCTCTCCACCTTTTCCTCGCTTGCCCCCCCTCCCTTCTCTCGCCAGGGCATGGAGGTGTTCCGAGCTGAGGTGGAGAAGCGCATGCCCAATGGCCACCTGCCACGTGTCAGCTCCACCTCTCAACTCACCACCAACGGTAGCACCACCGCCAGCAGCAGCAACGGCACCACCGGCACCAGCAGCACTACTGCTAACCCCACAGTCCAGTCCCTGATTGATCCATCCTGGTCTCGAAGGTCCTACCTAGGGGTGCATCCCCAAAAGCAGCCTGGGCTGGTCTATGTGGGTCTGCACGTGCCTGTGGGTCGGGTTCACCCGTCGACCCTGCACGAGCTCGCGCGATTGGCCGAGGAGTACGGCTCGGGGGAGGTTCGGCTGACTGTGGAGCAGAACGTGATTATACCGAACGTGCCTGAGGGGAGGGTGGCGGAGCTGCTGAAAGAACCGCTATTTGTCGGTGGGAGTGGAGAGGTGGCAACGGGGGGAGAGAAAGGGGAGGGAGAGGCGGGGGCGGAGGAGGGGAAGGGGGAAGTGGGGAAAGGCGAGGGATTGTATGGGTTGAGTGCGCAGCCGGGGAATCTGATGGGGTCTCTGGTGGCGTGCACTGGTAACCAGTTCTGCGGACAGGCGATCATTGAAACCAAGCAGAGGGCGTTGCAGGTGAGAGGTGCATTGCGGTTGGGAGGGGCTGTATGGGTTTCTATATGGTTGAGTCTGATGGGGCCACTGGTGGCATGCACTGGTAACCAGTTCTGCGGACAGGCCATAATTGAAACGAAGCAGAGGGCCCTGCAGGCGAGGGGGGGGCGATCAAGCGGGGGTATACGGGGTAGTGCAGGTCAGGTTGCTTGCTTGCTTCTCATCATGTCCCAGATTTTCATGCTCTTACTCCCCATCTCCATGATTCTTCTCTTTGCTTCAGGTCACGCGACAGCTGGAAGAAACTTTGAATCTGCCCGAGCCAGTGAGGATCCACTGGACCGGCTGCCCGAACTCTTGTGGGCAGGTGAGTTTGGCAAGCTTTTACCTGGTCCACGGAACTATGTATTATGCATGTATCTCAAGCTAATTCCATTCTCTTCTTACTTTCGTTTGGGCTGCACATTCAATGGTAACTCTTGAACATAGGTACAAGTGGCAGACATCGGGCTGATGGGATGCATGGCAAGAGACGAAAACAAGAAACCCGTGGAAGGAGTCGACATCTATCTGGGCGGCAGAATAGGATCTGATTCTCACCTGGGGCAGGTGCACAAGGCAGGTGTACCCTGTAAGGACCTGGTACCTGTTCTTCAGGATATACTTGTGGAGAGGTTTGGTGCAACTAGAAAGTAATGAGAGGGCATTACTCTTCAGGACCTGCTGTGCTGCGGGCTGCATGCTGCCTGATGTTTGAAATGAAGAGACTAGACCTGCTGCAGATGTTTGTCCAGTTTGTTTAATAACACATGTCATTGTATATGTTGGCATTGTAGTGGCTACTAAAGAATTAATCCATCGCTAGTCAGCTAACTATGTGATGAATTAGAGGACTTGTACATGATACATGGGGTCTACTGTGCTGGGGATGCAGGACATGTCATCTGACCCGCGTCCACAACATGTATTTTTTTAGGGTAGCTTCTTCTCTATTCACATGGTGCTGTGAATATGGCGTACAGACCGGGAACATGGAGGTACTGTTTACCTCTTGCTGCCAATCAGCCCATAAGTTTCAGGTGACCAACCAGATTCTCATAGAGCCAAAACCTGATCCGACATGCGTTTCGTGGTCAGCAAATAGGTTTGGACACACCTGAGAATCCATCCAATCGGGAAGAGGCAACGTGACACCACCGCGGGCAGCACAAGGTCAGGTCGGATCCAGCACAGCACCATCTCGCTGAAGCCTAGGTCGCTCGCGCCGCAGAGAAACAAACACAACCACGACTCGGTCGCTCTGTCTCCCTTTTCCTCTCCCTACCTCCTCATTCACCTCACCTAAATGTTCGAACCCTAACATTTCCCTCCAACATGCATTGCAACTTCTCTAGTGGGGAATTAGAAGAGAAGAATCTCAATTCGACTGTACGTTACTCCTAATCTGTTGTAATTTTCTACGACTAAGCGCACACCCTCGCTTCTCACTTCTCTCCTAGGCTTCCAGAATGGCTAGAGCCGCGCTTCTCGCGCTGTCCCTGGCGCTGCTGCTCGCAGTCGCCCGCGCCGGCAGCCCACTGACGAGCGCCACCGCGAACGAGAAACCCGACCCGAGCAGCAAGAAGGACGACGGGCTCATGACCGAAATCCCGGCGGATATCGCGAAGCAGGCCGCGACGGGCAACGCGGCGGGAGTCACCTACGTGGATACCGCACAGGATTCGTTCTTCATGGCTGATGTGAAGAAGGCGGGGTGGAACGCGCAGAAATGCCCCCCTGGATTGAACAAGGAGCTTGCGGGGGCATGCACGCCGAAAAATTGCTCCAAGGGAGGTATTCCCGCTAAGTGGAAAACCGCTTATCTGCAAAAGAACAAGCTCGGTTACGAGCTGTACGTGCCGGGCAACCCGCTGACGTTGCTCAAGGCGAACCCCGCGTCGTGCTGCAATACCTGCGCCGCGACCCCGCTCTGCACGTACTGGCAGTACATTCCCGATATTACTATTGACGGGAAGAAGGGCAAGGGCGCGTGCTATTTGATCCACGACCAGATTGATTTCACCTGCGGAGAGATGACTGCACAGTATTCGACGGAAACGAAGCCGGTGAATCTTCAGGTGCGCATCGGCGGAGAGTGCAACCCTAGCGCAAAGATCCTCAACGACCCGCATTTGGTCGGCGCGCACGGCACACATTTCGACTTCAACGGCCGCCCCGACAAGGCGTTCTGCCTGCTCACGGACCGCGATCTTCACGTGAACATGCTGTTGAGGGGGTACTATGACGAGCGCACCGATAATGCCGCGCTTGTTGTTGACGGAAAGGCGGTGCACACGTGGATTAAGGAGCTCGGGATCGTCTGGACTGCACAGGGCGCGGACCACAAGATTCGGCTCGCGGCGCGCGGCGGCAAGCAGCAGGAGCGCGGCGACGGGTTCATGAAGAGCATCGAGATTGACGGCGAGGAGATCCCGAGGATGAAGGTTGGCGACACGGTGACGAGCGACGGCGGGCTGACGGTTCACTTCCGCGGGCTCGAGAAGGAAGGACCGTTCGATGTGGATTACTACATGCTGACGATCGACGGTCTGATTTCGTTGGATCTGCGCCTGCGCGTCGCGCACCCGAAGCTGCAGACCCCGACCGACGCCGAGGCGCATATCAACGTCGGGATTGCCGAGCTGGAGCACACGGAAGAGATTCACGGTGTGTTGGGGCAGACGTACCGCGCGGATCACTCGCAGCGCGCCGCGGATTTCCAGCGTTTGATCGCGAGCCTGCACCGTCCGATTTCGGCTGACGGCGCAGAGGGGAAGGGGTTCTTGGATGGCACACCCAGGTCGTATGAGGCGAGTGATGTGCTCGCTGTGGACTGCGCTTATACCGCGTATGGCCGCGCCAGGAAGGTTATGCCCGTGCAACAGTTCCCGTAGAGGATTGACTCGGTGACAGCTTTTATACTTGTATTGTACAGTGGGCTGGTTTGGGTACTAGGCTTATAGATAATTGGGCTGATTTGTTCATTCTTTTGGACGATAATGTCAATATGGAATGAGAAACTGTTCATCCTTTGACTTTTGAATGCATCATTTGACATCCAGAAACAATGTGGTTCACCTTTCCAACAGAGCATCTCACTGGATAATGCCAGACCTAGGGCATAATCACCCACCCATCAATTCTACCTAAAATCTACCCGCTTGACTAGATTTATCCTTCATGCTGACCTAGCTGAACGCATTGCAGTAACATGCCAGTAACTGAAGCTTGGTGGTGCTGCAACAGGTTGTAACAGGGGAAACTACTGGTATGACAGGAGAAGGTAGGAGAAGGACAGAAATGCTGGGGCAGGTTGTAGTACAATGTAACACTGATGAAGGAGGTTACAGCACAGAGACAGGGGCAGGCTGCAATGCAGCAACAGGAGCAGCTTGTAATGAGGTCACAACTGCAGTACCAGCAGGCGAGGGCGTTTGAGACTCAAACGAGGCATGCATTAGCGGCACAACAGCACCTCCTTCCACAGCACCTGTTACAGAGTTCAGCAGCAATGGAGGTGGAACAGAGGCGTCTGGAGCTGATGCTGCTGCTGCGGCTGCTGCTGCCGCTGCTTGGGATGCGCATGCTACAGAAGGGGCAGCGGCAGCAGCAGCAGCAGCGGGGACAGCAAAGGAGGGAGCAGTGGCGAAGGGGGCAGAAGGGACAGCATTGGGGGCAGTGGGGACAGCGGGGGCAGAGAGGGCAGAGGGGTCAGTGGGGAAAGAGAGGGGGTTGGTTGCGGTTGTGTGGGTTGGGGGATATGCGGGAGGCTCTTGGGTCATGGCTGACTCGGGGGGGGGATTGGCGGCAGTGGTTGGTACAGGTGTCTGGGCTGGCGCAGGAACAGCTGCAGCGGAAAGGTGAAGCGCCTGCCCCTGCGCCTGTGATGCTTGCGCCTGCGCTGCCTGCGCGGAAGCTTCTAGCGCGCGCTGCAGCCCCGAAAGCTCCTGCTGCGCTACAAGCAGCTGCGTTTGCAGATGAACGACGTGCTGCTGCAGTAACGAAATCGCGCTCACGCAGCCGTACACCGGGTCCTGAACTCGCGCCTCCGCCTCGTACGCCATGCTATTCGCCGCGTCTCCGCGCAGCTCCGGCGGAAGCTCCGCCAGGATCCGCGTGACGTTACTCGCGCCGAACACGCGGTGAACGTTCGCGAATCGCCCCGGCTGGTCCGGCGGGAAGTACGGCGCGAAAACGCACTCCGCCGTGCATTTCCGCCGAAGGAACTTGCACGCGGCGCACGGGGACGAGGTTCGACCGTGAGGCGACTCCTCGATTGAAATAGCGGCGGTAGATGCGGCGGAAGAGTCGGAGGCGCCGGCGCTCAAGGAGGAAACGGCGGAAGCCGCCATTGACGCGGCCGACGAAGCTGCTGCTGGCGCTCGTGCTTCAACAGGGGTGGTTTCGTGAGTACTAGCATCCATAACCGAAAAGAGCCTCTCCTGTTGCTCCGCTTGCCTGTTGCCCCGCTCGCCTGCTGCTCCGCTCGCCTGCTGCTCCGCTCGCCTGCTGCTCCGCTCGCCTGCTGCTCCGCTCGCCTGCTGCTCCGCTCGCCTGCTGCTCCGCTCGCCTGCTGCTCCGCTCGTCTGCTGCTCCGCTCGTCTGCTGCTCCGCTCGTCTGCTGCTCCGCTCGTCTGCTGCTCCGCTCGTCTGCTGCTCCGCTCACCTCCTGCCCTGCTCGTCTGCCCCTCCGTTCGCCTGCTGTTCGTTGAAAGTCCAAGCGCCTCACCCGTTTCTCCGCTCCTGTTTCTCCGCTCGTCCGTTTCTCCGCTCCTGTTTCTCCGCTCGCTCGTTTCTCCGCTCGCCCGTTTCTCCGGTCGCCGTTTCTCCGCTCGCCCGTTTCTCCGCTCGCCCGTTTCTACGCTCCCGTTTCTACGCTCCTGTTTCTCCGCTCGCCCGTTTCTACGCTCCTATTTCTCCGCTCGCCCGTTTCTACGCTCCTGTTTCTCCGCTCGCCCGTTTCTACACTCCTTTTCTCCGCTCGCCCGTTTCTACGCTCCTGTTTCTCCGCTCGCCCGTTTCTACGATCCTTTTCTCCGCTCTCCCGTTTCTACGCTCCTGTTTCTCCGCTCGTCCGTTTCTCCGCTCGCCCGTTTCTCCGCTCCTGCTTCTCCGCTCGCCTGTTTCTCCGCTTGCCTGCTCTCCGCTCGTTCTGCTGCTCCTTGAAAATCCAAAAGTGGGCGGCTCCACCGACGCAGACTGACTATGCAACAGGTTAAAAATATACTTAACCTTCGCCTTTCAAACTCCAAAAGGAGTTACCCTTTCAAAAAACTAAAATAAATACTCGAATTACAATTGGGGATGCGGTTGCTAACGCGTCTCAGTCAGTGAAACTTTCAGCTGTTTACGAGAGTGGTGTTCTCGTCGCGACCAATCGCCATGTCGTCACTCGGCGCTCCTCCGCGATTCGGAGCTCTTAATCAGTGCAGAGGTGTCGACTAAGGCGACTTAAACGATGTGTTTTGAGGCGCCTCGAATCGCGTCGCTCGGCGCTCCTCCGCGAGACGGAGCTCCCAAACAGCCCAGCGGTTTCAACTATAGCAATTGACGGAGTGTCGCAAATATTATTGCAACGAGTCAAAAGTGGCTTTGCTTCTAGGCAACGCAGCAGTTTGCTACTGCCACAGGGAAGCTCCTAACGGATCACAGAAGGCCCAACAACTGGAGGTTTTAACTAAGGTGGAGCTCGCAGGAAGCGGAACGAAGGCCCTGGTGGCCGCAGGAGGCGGAGCGACAGGCAGGATTATTAAGGCTTAATGCCTACGGAAGTGTGGCGGATAAAACTCCCGCGCAACCCTCATTGGCAGGGAAAACCAGCCGTGGAAATCGTGTTCCTGTGAACTGAAGGGGAAAGCAGATGCGTTGTGAGGGGATAAGGGGGTTTGGATTTAGCTGGTTTTGGGAAGAAACGGGGCTGGGATGGGCTAGAATGGGCTCTGCTAGTTTGAGAAAGGTTAAAGCCGGCGGCCCAAATTGTTCATGCTTTTAAAAGTTGTCCGAAGGGAGTTTTTCTGGTGTGGGCTTTGGCGAGAGTTTCCAATTTCGTATAGGTTCGTTTTTTTCGCGAGACCTAGCCAACCCTCGGTTTTCCACCTAGTGAGTGAATCTGTCTTCGAAAGTCCCAAATTGCAAGTGCGTGACTTTCAAAAGCTTGGACACTCAACTTCGTCAAGTTTTTAAAACTTGACCCTCGCGGTCCGCAATTTTGGATGCGGGCTTTAAGTGGGTGTTGAGGTGTGGAAGGACGATTGTTTGGGGTCTGCTCGACGTGGAATTGAAATGCGCGACGAGCGGTTTCGCGAGTAGGGATCATGCGGTCTGGTCTGAAAGGGATACTGTGGGGAAGTTGACGGATTGGCTGGTGCAGTACAGATGGCGTGTCGTGGGCAGTTCAATGTACAAGTGGCGGAACGTTTTCCGCGATAACGTGACGTCAGTTCATGTACAGTTTTACAGCATTTGCACAAAAGGGAGAACACGGGCTGCCCGAGTTCGAGTGTGAGCCTCAGGCTGAATATTCTTCTGTAAAGGGTTCAGGAAATACGGATTATTGGCCTCAATACGCTATATTGACCTTGATGTTTTCCTTTGTTTGACAGGAATGTGAGAGAGAGAAAGGATTTGGTTCTCCTTGACTGACCAAGTCAGAGGTGCCAGGAGAAGCACTGAATCGCCAGGCCAGCGAAGCGGATGGGAAAAAGGCGCCTCCCAGTCGTGTGGAGGACAGCTGACCAATAACGTTATCCAGAAGCTGGATTGGCGTGCGTGGGAATCAGGTGGCAATGACGTGCCAGCCGTCTTTCACAAGAAGGTCGAAAGACGTGGAGATTTGAGATTGGTGAAGACACACTTCTGGACGTTCGGCTGAAGTCATGTTGGGAAGCCACCCCAGGAATACAGGAAATGTTGACGAATTGTAGCAGTTGTGGCAGAACGAAGTTGGTGCCGTTGCTGTGCTTGTATTCCTTGGATCAGGGGACAGCCTACCAGAGCGTGTTTCAATTGTGCAATACCCTACCACACCGCACGAGAATTTTGTGTGGATGTGCGAATCTTCGCTACAAGATCTTAGCTCACTTGCTAGGTAGCGCTGATAGGGATGTGGCTTGCGTACATGGGTAATAAGAATTTGACACATTACAATACCACACAGCTATGAAAGACATTCAACAGAGCCCGCAAGTGTTCCTGATTGAACACCATGTCCTCAAGTGAGAAAGCGTGAAAAAAAAATGCATTTACTCTCAGTAGCAATAACAACCTTGACCCACTAGGTGTAAAGAAATATAGGAAAACATACGTTTTAAAGATGTGTGCGCCCCTATCTCTTATATATCTACACCGCAATAGGTTGTACTGCCAGCACTGATCTCACCGAATTCACCCCGTCTGTCCACGTCAGACTGCCAAACGAAAACGCGCCTGTCGCAGCCGTCGGGCGTAGGGTAACCGTAAACGCTTGCGACTTGCCCGGGCCAATCACGAAGCTCGTCGGACGCACTGTCACGGCGACATTCTTCGGAGCAACCACTGCAGCAGAATACCTAGACTGCTTCCCGCTCACATTTATCACACTTCGATAAACCGACACGGTGCTCCGTAGCTTGGGCACGCAGATGTTCGGCTGGTTGAGATTGAACGGTTGAATTGGCGCCACGTTCCACTGCGGAAACGCCGCCTTGGCTTGAGTTCGATCGATCCCTGTCAGAAACGACAAGTAACCCATCATACCAACATCGTACACCAAACCCGGATCGAGCGCCTTCGCGGGAAAAACGTGGCCCGATCCGTAATTCCAGGGCGATGCCATTTGTCCCTTCGCGGTCCGGATAAACTTCCTCGCCGTGTTAGTCGTATACGCCGTCGTTAGCATCGCGGATTTAATCGCCGCGGGGCTCCAAGTCGGGTATTTCTGCATAAGTATCGCCGCGATTCCCGCTATATGCGGGGCGGCCATGGATGTCCCGGAAAGTGCGCGGAAGGATCCTTCAGAGGAAGACCCCGCGGCCATGGGTCCGAGGAGAGAGACGCCCGGCGCGGTGATGTCGGGCTTTAAGATGGCGTTGGTGACCTTGCTGCTGTCATAGAAGCCTGCTGCGGGATTGACGGAGGGACCTGCGCCTGAAAAGACGGCCATTTCGGGAGCCACCTGCTTGGGTAGGAAGAGCGCCGAGAGGGTTGCAGTAGGACTGTTTGGGGGAGGAGAGGGGGGGGGAAAGGGGGAGAGGGGGGGGAAAGGGGGAGAGAATGGGGGGAAGTGGTGGTGGTTTCGGGAGCCACCTGCTTGGGTAGGAAGATCGCCGACAGGGTTGCAGTAGGACTGTTTGGGGGGGGGAGAGGGGGGGGGGGGAGGGGTTGGAAGTGGGGAGTAGAGGGGATTTGGCGGACAGGGGGAGGAGTGGGGAGTAAGTTGGGGGAAGGAGCTGGGCATGGTGGGTGCCACCTGCTTGGGTAGGAAGAGCGCCGAGAGGGTTGCGGTAGGACTGTTTTGGGGGGGAGAGGGGGGGGAGAGGGGGAGAGAATGGGGGGAAGTGCGAGGAAGTGAAAACGGGGGAGTGGGAAGGGAGGCGGGACCTGCGCCGGGAAAGACGGCCATTTCGGGAGCCACCTGCTTTGGTCACCTCCTCCGCCACAGAGCGACCTGCTCTTCTGCAGGAAGAGTGGCAGGAAGGACTTGCGAATGCGAATGGACTCACTTAGGTGTGCTGCGGATGTACTCACTTGGGGGTGCTGCGAATGGGGGTGCTGCGAATGTACTCACTTGGGGGTGCTGCGAATATACTCGCGAATGGCCTTGCCCTTCCAGAACACGGGGAACAGCCCCGGCAATCCCAAGGCCGTGGCCTTCACTGCGCCCTCCCCATTCGCGTATGGCACCACGATGATCGCCCGCCCGCCCACCCTCGCCACCTCTGCTGCCTTCTCACTCGCGTAGGAGAATCCCGTGCAGCACACCACGATCTTGCCTCGCACCTGTGTCGGGAAAGGCACAAAGCGTTGGGACGGGGTAAAGGGGATGTGTGTGTGTATGATGACTGTGCACCCACGCGCCCACCCACCCTCGCCACCTCTGCTGCCTTCTCACTCTCGTAGGAAAATCCCGTGCAGCTCACCACAATCTTACCCCGCACCTGTGCGGGTTGGTTGAAAGCGGAGGGATGGGGGGAGGTTGGAATGGAGATGAGTGTGCAATGGTTCCCCACCCTCGCCACCTCCGCTGCCTTCTTGCTCGTGTAGGAGCATCCCATGCAACAGGGAGGGAGGGAGGGAGGGAGGGAGGGAGGGAGGGAGGGAGGGAGGGAGGGAGGGAGGGAGGGAGGGAGGGAGGGAGGGAGGGAGGGAGGGAGGGAGGGAGGGAGGGAGGGAGGGAGGGAGGGAGGGAGGGAGGGAGGGAGGGAGGGAGGGAGGGAGGGAGGGAGGGAGGGAGGGAGGGAGGGAGGGAGGGAGGGAGGGAGGGAGGGAGGGAGGGAGGGAGGGAGGGAGGGAGGGAGGGAGGGAGGGAGGGAGGGAGGGAGGGAGGGAGGGAGGAGGGAGGGAGGGAGGGAGGGAGGGAGGGAGGGAGGGAGGAGGGAGGGAGGGAGGGAGGGAGGGAGGGAGGGAGGGAGGGAGGGAGGGAGGGAGGGAGGGAGGGAGGGAGGGAGGGAGGGAGGGAGGGAGGGAGGGAGGGAGGGAGGGAGGGAGGGAGGGAGGGAGGGAGGGAGGGAGGGAGGGAGGGGAGGGAGGGAGGGAGGGAGGGAGGGAGGGAGGGAGGGAGGGAGGGAGGGAGGGAGGGAGGGAGGGAGGGAGGGAGGGAGGGAGGGAGGGAGGGAGGGAGGGAGGGAGGGAGGGAGGGAGGGAGGGAGGGAGGGAGGGAGGGAGGGAGGGAGGGAGGGAGGGAGGGAGGGAGGGAGGGAGGGAGGGAGGGAGGGAGGGAGGGAGGGAGGGAGGGAGGGAGGGAGGGAGGGAGGGAGGGAGGGAGGGAGGGAGGGAGGGAGGAGAGGAGAGGATGGGGTTGTGCATGAATAGGAAGATAGATTCGACCCATATTAGAGAGGCACTCTCCACTCCATACACTCCCTCGTGAACCCACCTTGGAGGGCGCCGTTTTGAGTCGACTCAAAACCACGTGATGTGATGTGTGTGCATATTAGAGAGGCACTCTCCACTCCATACACTCCCTCGTGAACCCACCTTGGAGGGCGACGTTTTGAGTCGACTCAAAACCACGTGATGTGATGTGTGTGCATATTAGAGAGGCACTCTCCACTCCATACACTCCCTCGTGAACCCACCTTGGAGGGCGACGTTTTGAGTCGACTCAAAACCACGTGATGTGATGTGTGTGCATATTAGAGAGGCACTCTCCACTCCATACACTCCCTTGTGAACCCACCTTGGAGGCTAAGGAGCGTACCTTGGAGGGCGACAAGGAGTAGGGCACGCAGGCTTCAGCTTGGGAAGCCATGTAGCCGGCAGCAGCGGATGTCTTGCCGTCCACTAGAGGCAGGTGGCAAGGGGGTATATATGTTGGACGGGAGTGAAAGACAAACGAACCCACCTTGGAGGGCGACAAGGAGTAGGGCACGCAGGCTTCGGCCTGAGAAGCCGTGTACCCGGCAGCAGCGGACGTGTGAGCGGCAGGGAGCGAGTAAGAACCTTGTGACGCCACCCCGGAAGGCAATAGAAGAGTACCTTGGAAGGAGAGAGCGAGTAGGGCACGCAGGCTTCGGCCTGAGAAGCCGCGTACCCGGCAGCAGCGGACGTGTGAGCGGCAGGGAGCGAGTAAGAACATTGTGACGCCACCCCGGAAGGCAATAGAAGAGTACCTTGGAAGGAGAGAGCGAGTAGGGCACGCAGGCTTCGGCCTGAGAAGCCGTGTACCCGGCAGCAGCGGCTGTCTTGCCATCCACCAGGGGCGGCCGGCGCGTGGCAGTGCTGCCCCCAGCAGAGGCAGCGAATGACGGGTACAGTCCGTTTAAAAGAGGGGAAAACATGCGGGATTCTCAGTGCATACCTTGGAAGGAGAGAGGGAGTAGGGCACGCAGGCTTCGGCTTGAGAAGCCGTGTACCCGGCAGCAGCGGCTGTCTTGCCATCCACCAGAGGCAGCCGGCGCGTGGCAGTGCTGCCGCCCAGGAGTGTCTCCCCCAGGTAGCTCTGCCTGTTGCCCAGCGACAGCCTGGCTTGGGGCGGCCAGGCTTGGCTGGACGTGCTGGGGATGGGAGATAGGGGAGGGAGGCGGGGGAAGGGGGGGAGGTAGAGGAAAAGGGTTAGACAGGGTAGACAGGGAGAGGGCTATTGGGCTAAAGAGGGGAGATAAGAGGGGAAGTGTTTTGAGACGTCTCAAAACCCTTGTTCAATCAGGATGCGGGGGAAGAGGGGGAGGTAGAGGAAAAGGGTTAGACGGGGTAGACAGGGAGAGGGCTATTGGGCTAACGACGGGAGATAAGAGGGGAAGTGGGACTGGGCAGCATACACTAGCCTACCTGGCAGCATACACTAGCCTACCTGGCAGCAACACTAGCCTACCTGGCAGCATACACTAGCCTACCTGGCAGCATACACTAGCCTACCTGGCAGCAACACTAGCCTACCTGGCAGCATACACTAGCCTACCTGGCAGCATACACTAGCCTACCTGGCAGCAACACTAGCCTACCTGGCAGCATACACTAGCCTACCTGGCAGCATACACTAGCCTACCTGGCAGCATACACTAGCCTACCTGGCAGCATACACTAGCCTACCTGGCAGCATACACTAGCCTACCTGGCAGCAACACTAGCCTACCTGGCAGCAACGGTGATATAGTAAGGCGAGAGGTTGGTGAGAGTGTGATAAACCCTGCTTGCACACTGCACTGGTCAGCATACCAGCTGCAAACATACCTGGCTGCAACAGTTATGTAGTAAGGCGAGAGGTTGGTGAGCGTGCGATAGAGCTTGGGGCTTGCTGGGGGAGGCCCGCTGTTGCCTGCTACCAGTGACACAAACACCCCTGCCTGCTCGAATGGTAGGGAAGGGTAGAGGGGGCAGGAGAAGGAAGGAGCGGGGTGGGTGTGCTGTTAGTTACACCTTGGGGTTTGCGGGGGGAGGCCTGCTGTTGACTGCTACCTGGGAGTGACTTTTGAGAATTCTCAAAAGTCACTCCCATATAGTTGACTACTACCAGTGACAGGAACACCCCTGCCTGCTCGTGGTAACAGGGAGGGTAAAAGGCGTGACTAGGGTGGGGTTGCAAAGTTATGTGGGTGGTGCAGTGCAGATCTTGCTGCTTCCAGGCGAGGTGACTTTTGAGTCGACTCAAAAGTCACCTGGTATGCAGAGTTATGGGGATGGTGCAGATCTTGCTGCTTCCAGGCGGGTGAGTGCCCGCTGTTGCCCACTACCAATAATGCCACGAACATGGCTGCGCACACATGGCTGCGCACACATGGCTGCGCACACATGGCTGCGCACACCCACGCAACTAGTTGGCTCTTTAAGAGTTTGCATGCACCAACGACTCCCACTCACCCTCGCCGCCCTGAGCATGGACCAACTACTCCCACTCAACCTCGCCGCCCTCCCACACACCTACTTACCCTCACAGCTTACCCTCTTGAAGCTCCCTCTCTCTCACAGATTACCCTGGCAGCACGCAGCATGGCCAGGTGCTTGAAGCAGGTCTCCTCGTTGATCGCCACCCACATGCTCAGCACATCCACACCCACACCGACAAGCAACGTGTGCTCATCCTCTCATCTCCCACTCCCCACCGACATGCTCAGCGCTCTAATGAGCAACAAGCATGGTTGTACACACCTGCGGAACCAGCTGGCCCCTCAGCTTACCCTCGCTGCCCTGAGCATCGCGAGGTGCTTGAAATACGTCTCCTCATTAATAGCCACCCACATGCTCAGCACATCCACACCCACACCGACAAGCATGTGTGCTCACCCTCTCATCTCCCACTCACCCTAGCAGCCCTTAACATCGCCAGGTGCTTGAAGTAGGTCTCCTCGTTGATTGCCACTGACATGCTCAGCACATCCACACCGTCCGCCACCGCGCGATCAACGGCTGCAAACACGTCCGAGTCCGATCCAACGGCCAGCTTGCCCTGCACCCAGATGGCCTTGTAGACGGCTATCCGTGCTCTGGGCGCCATGCCACTCGCTGTACCGAACTGCACCCCTCCTCCGGATACTTTCACCGGGTTGCCTGCTGCGGCCCTGATGAGCAACGGGCGAAGGAAGGGGCGAAAGAAAGAGAGGGAAGGAGAGGGCCATTCAACAACCGACGGCCAGCCAGCTTGCCAGCTTGCCCTGCACCCAGATGGCCTTGTAGACGGCTATCCGTGCTCTGGGTGCCATGCCACTCGCTGTTTCGAACTGCACCGCTCCTCCGGACACCTTCACAGGATTTCCCGCTGCCATGCCCCTGACATACACACTGCCATGCCCCTGCCATACACACTCACATGCCCCATGCACACAAGGCCCCAATGCCCCACATTCAACGTACCCCGCACACCACGTGCCGTGGTCGCTGGCATCCCTGGGAGAGAGATATTCTGTGGAGGGGTCGACAGCCCTCCCACTCGCCACGAGGCCCCCTCATGCCCTGCAATGCCCCATGCGCCATCTAAGAAATTCCACCGCCCTGCACCAAAACCAACGTACCCCGCACACCACGTGCCGTGGTCACTGGCGTCCCTGGGAGAGAGATACTCTGTGGAGGGGTCCACAACCCCACCAGACGCCACGAGCCCCTCGGCAAAGTAGCGAGCGCCGATGATCTTCTTGCTGCAGCCCTTGAAGTCGCTCGTGGTCGTGCACTTGCCACGCCAGCGGGGAGGCACGGGGGGGTAGCCCTGGGAGGGAGAAGGGAGCGGGTGGAGGAGCAGTGAGGGAGACGATCTTCTTGCTGCAGCCCTTGAAGTCGCTGGTCGTGGTGCACGCGCCTCGCCAGGGCACGGGGGGATAGACCTGCAGAGGGGAGAACGGGGAGGAGGGAGTGGGAGGGAGAATGGGCGGGTGACTGTGTGAGCCAAAAAGTTACCCATATCCACGATCCCAATGATCATGCCCCATAATGACACACGCACGCCATGTTACCATGTCACCACACATGCATACCTTGTCACTGAAGCTGGGGTGTTCAGGCCAGATACCCGTATCCACGATCCTAATGATCATGCCCCGAACAACACACCCACTCCATCTTGCCACTCCATGTTACCAGGACAACACACACAGACACGCATGCACATCTTATCGCTGAAGCTGGGTCGGGCCAGATACCCGTATCTACGATCCCAATGATCACAACCAGAACGCCACGATCACTGTGTCATCTTGTTTGCATGCGAGTGTTTTTTGAGAACTCTCAAAGAATTCTCAAAGAATTCTCAAAGAACTCTCAAAGAACTCTCAAAGAATTCTCAAAGAACTCTCAAAGAACTCTCAAAGAATTCTCAAAGAATTCTCAAAGAACTCTCAAAGAATTCTCAAAAGACACTCGCCACGATCACAGTGTCATCTTGTTTGCATGCACGCACACAGACACCCTCGCATATGCACATGCATACCTTATCACTGAAGCTGGGGTGTTCAGGCCAGATACCAGTACCCACGATCCCAATGATCATGCACATAACGACACATACACCCCAAGTTACCATGTTACCACATTACCGTGTCACCCCACACATCCATACCTTATCGCTGAAGCTGGGGTGTTCAGGCCAGATGCCCGTATCCACGATCCCAATGATCATGCCCCATACTGGTACACCCTCTTCATGTTGCCATGTTACCGTGTTACCACATCACTCACCTTGTCACTGAAGCTGGGGTGCTCGGGCCAGATGCCCGTATCCACGATCCCAATTATCATGCCATTGCCCGCCTTGGTCCTCCCGCCCACGCTCGGCCACACGCGAGAGGGCAGCTGCAGGAACTGCGGCGTGTGGATGGTCTGAACAGAGACCGTTTGGGATCTTTCCACCTTGAGAACTGACTCGTGTCGCTGCAAGCGATGGGCCTCTGAACGGGTCAGCTTGACACTCACTCCGTTTAACACGTAGCGGTAGCTGTTTTGGGGGGGAGGGAGGAGGGTGGCAGCACGTTGGGGGAAAGGAAGCAAGGGTGAGAGGGCCGCTGGTCGCGAGGGCAGCTGCAGGAACTGCGGCGTGTGGATGGTCTGAACAGAGACCGTTTGGCACCGCTCCACTTTCAGCACCGACTCGTGCCGCTGCAAGCGGTGGGCCTCTGAACGGGTCAGCTCGACGCTCACTCCGTTCAGCACGTAGCGGTAGCTGTGGGGAGAAGGAAGATAGGCGGGGAATGGAATGAGAGAGGGGGACGGGGAAAGGGAGTGCCGCTGCAAGCGGTGGGCTTCTGTGGGCGTCAGTTTCACGCTCATTCCGGTCAACACATAGTGGTAGCTGTTTCGGGGTGTTGGGGAGGGGAAAAACCGAAACTTAAAAATACCGAGGCTTGGGATTCCGAACCTCAGGAGCACCGAAACTTGAAAATACCGAGCCTTGGGAATACCGAACCTTGGGACTACCGTCTTGTGCACGATGCGCCCCTTGGGAATATCGACGGCCTGCAGCATGTGCTGCTACACGCCCCAAGCACTGGCAACCTCTCACCACCTTCCCTCCTCCCACTTTCCATCCTCTCCCTCACCTGTGCACCATGAGGCCCTTGAGAATACGAGGCTTTGGGAATCTCGAGCCTTGGGAATCCCGAACCTTGAGAATACGAGGCTTTGGGAATCCCGAGCCTTGGGAATCCCGAACCTTGAGAACATTCACCTGTGCACGATGCGATTCTTGGGAATACCGACGGCCTGCAGCATGTGCTGCTGCACGCCCCCCACGAACTGCGCGAACGCGCGCACGTCGCTCTCGCGCTCGTCCGCGCGCCTGCTGCCGCGCGGCCCGTCCAGCGCCCCCATCGCCTGCACCGCCGCCGCCGCCGCCGCTGCTCTTGATCTAGCTCGTCTTCCTCCTACTCCTCTTCCTCCTCCTGCTGCTCCTCCTCCTCCTCCTCCTCCTGCTCCTGATGTTGCAATTGACGCCACTGAAGCGTTTAGAAGTCCTGTTATCGATTCCCCAGTGCTCCTTCCGCCTCCGCTGTTTGCGCCTGCGGACCTTCCGCCTGCCCCAGCAGCACCACCTGTAGCATACGGGGCGCCTGTAGCATCCGAATCGTATCCAGCCTCCAAGCTTTCCACGTCATCATCATCAGCATCATCTGTAGCGGCAGCAGCGGAGGCAGTGAGACCGTCGCCTGTAGCAGGAGCGGCTGTAGCAGCAAACCCCGGGATGCCGCCCTTATAGTCTATGACGGACGGCACGTTTCTGAAATACACGATATAGAGTTCCTCGCCACTGGGTCGTCTAGTGGACCCCGACGAACCTGTCGCTGCTGTATCAGCAGCGGCGGTTGTAGCTGCTGACGTGGCAGATAGTTTAGTGGGTTTCTCTGGTTGCCGTCCGGGCACTTCCCGTAGTCGAGGCCCCGCTATAGTCACCACTGGTAGCGCGTCCTCGTTATCGTCCGCCCCGTTATTGCGTTGCCCGTTTTGGAAGGGTGAAGCAGAGGCAGCTGCGGTGGAAGCATCGGCGGAAGAGTTCGGGGGAGGGGGCGCGGGGATGGCGGGGAAGAGATATTGCGCGGATGCTGCCGAGGGGCGCGGGTAAGGGAAGAGCGGAGGAGAAGGGGAAGGGGTGGAGGTGAGGGGAGACAAGGAAAAGGTGAGGAAAGGAAGGGAAGAAGGGGGAAGATAATCATAATAATAAACGGGGGTCGGGGGAAGGAGCCAAGGGGGGGATGGGGGACGAGTGATAAGACGCGCGCGCGGAAGCGAGAGTGGGCGGTAGGCGGAGGTAGAGACGAAGTGATCGGAAGCGCTTGGGGAGGTGGGGGGAGTGAGGGTAGGCGTTTAGGGGGGACAAGGCGCGCGCGGGGCAAAAAGGAGCACGTGGTGGAAAGGCGCGCGGGGGGTGAAAAGGGTGCAAGCGCACCTGGAGAAGTTGCGGAAAGAGCGGCGATGAGCGCAAGGAGCGCAGCCGTCACCGAGCAGCAAGCGCGTCCGCTATTAACGAAGCTTCCCCAGGCATTGCGGCGGTAGATGAAACCGCGGCAGCGCGCCATTTAGCCTGCCTACAGTCAACCTCGCTACAATATTGAGTCGCTACAATTACGATAGTCCAACCTCGCAACAAGCACACGAACCCTGGAATTGCTATAAATACCGATCTTGCGGGTCGACACCCGATCAGTGTACTCCCGGTGAGGACATCGTGCAAACGCGAATCTGCTTACAACGGGGATTCCTGACCTGGCGGGAAACGATATGAAACGAACGAGGACTCGTCGTAAACACGCCGTCTTTGCCTCCTTGACGAACTATATGGTACAGTTAGTCCAATACCGTCGTCGGTCGAGGCGCGGTTGGTATCCTAGAGCCAGCTGGCAACAGATCACTATAGTGAGTTATGTACCAACCCGGTCTGCCATGGACGGCTTTTGAGGCACTATCTACCCTGTCGCCTCGAAAGTTTGCTCACTTGGAGCTATCTAACAACCCCTGCTGCCAAGAACACGGGATTATCTATAGCGTAGCGAAATTGCACGACTCGTTGAGCTTCACTATCTACTAACAACGTCGCGCCACGACGTGCGAGTATGCACGACTTGGAGAAGGTACGATCGCCGTACCGCGAATCACGGCGCGAGCGGCGCTCTCGCGAACGAGAGATATGCGATGGGCAAACGAGTGGATCTTAGAGCATACGTACTCTCTCTTCGGCTTGAGTAACCTAGCGAGAACTAGCTTGGACATCGACGATCGGCTGGCTGAGTGCCGCTCGATTCCCCACAACCACTCGAACTAGGAAACGCCAGTAACTACGCTACCACCGAAGAATGGCTGGAATCGCCAGTCACTGCCGTACCGCTACGTCCTGTACGCGCTAAGGTGCTATCGGTTAGAAGTCGCAACTTCTTATGGTGAGTGAAAGCTGGAAGGTGTGCCGATCTCTCACGCCAACGACGCTGCACCGCAATCGGCGTTTCCTGCGGAGCCACGATGCGAGGAGGCAGGGAAGATGAGGCGGCGTTGTTGAGCTCTGAGTGACTATCGCGCCCCGATGTTCGCTCGAGAGTTGGGTTGGGGCCTTTGGAGAATCACCAATGAGAAGAGATGGAATGCATGTGCCAAGGACGGGTCACAGGAGGGATGTCGGTGTTCGGGTGCCATGCCAGACGCTACCAATTCGTGAGGTGAGGTGATCCATTCATTTGCTGTGAGCAGCCATGGTCAATGATACAGCCACAAGCACAGAAGCAGACTTTCCTTCATTCGGTGAGCTTGCTGAAAAGTTCAAGGAATTGGAATTCCCAAAGGTTCACTATGTTTCAGAGCGATCCGTTTATTGTTTGCGGAGGTAGTTTTAGGTGTCAGCGGAGATGCTCGCCAGAGTGGAGGTGCTTGCGACGTTCGCAACCTCCAAATGTTTCGCAAGCGTCGCAAAACAGTTGAGGCGAAAAGGGGTACTGTATGGTTGCCTGTGCGACGACTGGCGTGGCATGGGCGACCCGTCATGTGGCACGAAGTTTGCGGCGACATGAATTTTCCGAATTCGGCTGCAGCTTCGGCACCACGGCGCGACAACCGCCGACATCAGCTGCAGCTGCTGTAACCCTCTCGGGCTATTAGGGCAGGGTACAAATGTTCTGTCCCGCCCTTGGAAACCGGTGTGCAATATTCGAATGCCTGTGTTCAGCGGTTCCGCAAGAAATGGAAGAAGCAAAAAGAGGGTTGTGAGAACAGCACGCGATTACGGTTTTCGTTTTTGACTGCACGAGGCGCTTAAAAGTTTTGCATAACTTCGGCGTCACGATAGGGGGAGAAAGCAACGCAACGATTCGTCTCCAACCTTTCCCCGCCTCCACCACCCAAACCGACCGATTTGAACATGTTTCGAAATTCGGCTCGGCTCGGCGGGGACATCCAGCGCTCAAGCAATCATGGCTAGCCACGTTGCCAAGAGTTTTGCTGGCTGGGGTGTTGAGAGAGTTTGTTCGGTGACCGTTGAACTAGCGAAAATATAAATACGCGGTACACGGCACACCTTCACTGTGACTAATGAGTACATTCACAGGATGAGTGGAACTACATATTCTCATCCGCTAAGTATGCTACACTTGACTTCATGGCATGAGCTCACTATACCTGCAACACCCCTATTTCAACCTCATCTGCAACGAACTAAGCCCCTACCAGTGCACATGTGTGCAGGATATGCAACAAGTTACAAGACCGGCGGAAACTTGGTCACAGTCGTCCACCCACGCCAATCTGACATCCAATCAACCACATACCAGTATATCCGTACACCTCCTTCTGCCTCCCAGGGATTGCAATTCCCGGTTGCTAAACCTACGATCAAAGCTTGTTTTCTAGTCTGCCGCCCGCAGCAATCATCTCCTGTCCTTCGTCAGCTCTCCCCAATCGAATCAGTGCAGCAGCTACTAGGTAGGTTGCCTCGGGCCACGGGGGTTTGGACTGCTGGGCCTGGGAGGGAGAGGGAGGACATGAATAAAAGAGCAATAGGGAAGTGAGACATGATATTGTGATGCTCCATGTGCTGCACGTGCGGCCACTGGGTAGGTCGCCTCGGGCCACGCGGGTTTGGACTGCTGGGCCTGGGAGAGAGGTGGACAAAGGGCGAGAGAACAAGGGAGAGGAGGATGGATAGGTACTATGCTGCATGTGATGTGAAACTTGCTCGGCATCTGCCGTCACCAGGAAGAAGCTTCCCTCGGGGCGTAAGGAGCTGGTGGGTTGTTGGAACTGGAGAGGGGGATGCTGCATGTATTTTTGAGACGTCTCAAAAATACCCTTTATACAGCTGGTGGATTGTGGGAACTAGAGAGCGGATGTGGTACCCACCCAGGTCGTCCATGGCATCCTAACTCCTGAGCCCAACAATACTCATAAGGTAAATCGCAATTCCACTAAAAAAGAAATGCCCAGGCTGACCCGACATTATCAGACAGGCAGAAGGAAACAAAAAAATAACACAACAGAGGTGGTAAAAAAAAAAAAAAACACGGAATGAGCATTACGAGAGTGAATCAGGAAAACAATCAATACGTTGGTTCCGATGCAGCCCCTTGCTTTAATGCAGCTTTCTTGCCCCTAACTGCATGTCCATTGGTTCCTATCATACGAGATATTTTGTCCTAACTTGGATGGCAGGGTTTGTCCTCACCTGTAAAGAGTCCTGGTAAGCTTCTTCCCAGTGCCCCAGTTGCAGATGGGACAAGCAACGCCGCGCAAACAGCACGGGGATCGGGGGAGAGTCACACTTGAGGAACTGTAGAGGGGAAAGCAGAACGCAGGGGTGGAGAGGGGTGCGCGCAGAGAAAGAGGGGTGGAAAGAGGTGGCATGAAGCAGGATGGGTGGAGGGAATGTCATGCATAAAAGGGAGAAAGTGAGAGGGATGGAGGTGTCAAAAGTAAGATGGAATCCTTTCGATCAGAATTACTTTAGTGCAACTTCCTCCCTTTATAATCACAATCACCTTCAAGTGGTACCCAATCGCCTCGTCTCACTGCTTGCTGTTGCACAACTTTTTCTCTTCATAACCACCTTGGAGTCGAGAAAAAAAAACCTTCTACGATTACCTTGGTGTAGAGAGCAATCGCCTCTTCCCGCTGCTGGCTCTCGTTATAAAAGTAACACTTTGAGACGTCTCAAAACGTTACTTTTATCACGTAGCAATCGCCTCTTCTCACTGCTGGCTCTCGCCAGATATCTCCCATTTTCTCAGATTTCCACACTTCTGTTCGCCCTTTATCATCACCTTGGAGGTGTAGAGAGAAATCCCTTCATAATCACCTTGGAGGTGTAGAGAGAAATCCCTTCATAATCACCTTGGTGTAGAGAGCAATGGCCTCCTCCCACTGCTGGCTCTTGAACGCCTTGTCTCCCCTCTGCCTCGACGACACTAGATCCTGTATTTCCGCATTCCACACCTCAAACGACGGCTGGGGGGGGGGGGAGGAGCGTGGCAGAGAGAGAGGAAAGTTTGATGAGTGTTACCAAAATGCCTTGTCTACGCCTTGCCTCCCCTCTGCCTCGACGACACTAGATCCTGTATTTCGGCATTCCACACCTCAAACGTTGGCTGGGGGGGAAGCAGAGCAGCAGGGGGGGACACAAGGGGGGAAAGGTGCACAAGAGTTGTCAAAAGGCCCCGTCTCCCCTCTGCCTGGACGACACCAGGCCTTGCACCTCAACATTTAACACACCTCAAAGCACGGCTAGAGGGGGGAGGAGCGTGGCAGAGAGAGAGGAAAGTTTGATGAGCGTTACCAAAACGCCTTGTCTATGCCTTGTCCCCCCTTTGCCTGGACGACACCGGGTCTTGCACCTCAACATTCCACACCTCAAACGATGGCCACAGTGAACGCCACAGTGACCAGCCTCCGATGCAGCACCTGCCAGTCCCCTTCCATGGCTGCACGAGGCGACTTGGTGCAGCCTTCCTCAGGAGGGGAACAGACCCATGCGGCACACTGCAGTGCAATGCTCTCACTCACCTCCTGCGGAGGTGTGAAGGAGACAGTGACCAGCCTCCGATGCAGCACCTGCCAGTCCCCTTCCACGGCTGCTGCACGAGGCGACTTGGTGCAGCCTTCCCCAGGAGGGGAACAGACCCATGCGGCACACTGCAGTGCAGTGCTCTCACCTCCTGCGGTGGTGTGAAGGACACTGTGACCAGCCTCCGATGTAACACCTCCCAGTCCCCTTCCATGGCAGCACAGGGCGACTCAATACACACGTCAAAGAGAAGAAAGAACAACCACTTACCTCTTGGGGCGGCGTGAAGGACACAGTGACCAGCCTCCGATGCAGCACCTCCCAGTCCCCTTCCATGGCAGCACAGGGCGACTCAATACACACGTCAAAGAGAAGAAAGAACAACCACTTACCTCCTGTGGCGGTGTGAATGACACAGTGACCAGCCTCCGATGCAGCACCTCCCAGTCCCCTTCCATGGCAGCACAGGGCGACTCAATACACACGTCAAAGAGAAGAAAGAACAACCACTTACCTCCTGTGGCGGTGTGAATGACACAG